ACCCCTGACAAGTCAATCTTGGTTAATGAGAGAATTATTGGGCTGAGTGAGGACACCTGGGTTATATAGTCTTAGATCTTGTTTGGAGTCTCAGGCCAGTTACTTACCTGTCCAAGGGGGTTTGAAAACTGGAAGAATGACTCTTGACTTTTAAGGCTCGTGTTAAGAATCAAATGAACTAATTTGACATTCCCCCAAACAAATTGTGTTTTATTGGTACGCTAAGAGGTGTTTGGCTGGAGGGCCTAATCAAATAACAAAAAGGACAAGTTTAAGCAATGCTGGGTTAAATCAAATTAAACCAATTCCTTTGCAGGATTTATCAGAGCCTTTAATATGTTTATCTGCAATAAACACTATACGATATGCTCCTAAGAAAATGCAGAAGGGGGCCAGGCATGTGACTCACTCCTGTAATCTCAGCAATGTGGGAGTCTGAGGCAGGAGCATCACTTGAGCTCAGGAGTTCAAGACCAGCCTGGACAACATAGTGATACCCTATCCCTGAAAAACATTAAAAAAAAAAAAAAATTAGGTGTGGTAGTATAGGCCTGTAGTCCCAGCTACTTGGGAGGCTGAGGCAGGAGGACTGCTTGAGTTCAAGAGGTCAAGGCTGCAGTGAGCCAAGATTGCACCCTCTCTCAAAAACAAAACAAAAAAAAAAACAGTACCTGGATTATAGAAGGTGCTTGCATTTGGCTTTGGATCTCTCAAGCCACCGGCTCGGCCCTTTTCCAAGTGTACTTTACTTCCTAAAAAAAAAAAAAAATATATATATATATAGAGAGAGAGAGAGAGAGAGACACAGAGACAGAAGGAAGAGTTTTTCTTTTCTTTTTTTCGAGATGGAATTTCATTCTTGTTGCCCAGGCTGGAGTGCAATGGTGTGATCTCAGGTCACTGCAACCTCTGCCTCCTGGGTTCAAGCAATTCTCCTGCCTCAGCCTCCCGAGTAGGTGGGATTACAGGCATGTGCCACCACGCCCTGCTGATTTTGTATTTTTAGTAGCGATGGGGTTTCTCCATGTTGGTCAGGCTGGTCTTGAACTCCCAACCTCAGGTGACCCACCTGCCTCGGCCTCCCAAAGTGCTGGGATTACAGGCGTGAGCCACTGTGCCAAGTCTGAAGAGTTTTTCAGATTGATTTAATCATAAGGCCCCTACCCTCTGTTTCTGTGGCTCATCTAATGGGCAGAGTCCCTCTAGATGAGCTGGGAGAGCTCTGTCACCGGACTTTTTGGGCTAATGAAGGAGCTAGGGTGGTGGCCTCTGACAGTCCTCGAGGTCAGCCTCATTAGTGGCCCTTAGGAAAAGGCAAAGCTTTTCCAGCACATCCTCCATTGGTGGACAGGGGATGTGAGACCTGCAAGTCCCTTGCTCTGAGGGTTACTGGCTCTACCCCTGTGAGATTAGAGGCTCCTCCTCTCAGGGCTCATCCCTCCCACAGTGACTGTTTCACCTCCACCCCTGAACCCCCACCCCTCAAGCCCTCCCTAACTTTGGCTGCTGCCCACTAATCTAATCCCTACTTCAACCCAGCCTCTTAGTGTCTGCTTCCCCACATTCACCAGCCCAGGCATATTCCAACATTTTTACTTGTAAATCTCCTAAAAGAAATTTGGAAAGTTATGTCTCCCCTCGATACTCTAAGTTATCTGATGATTTTCATCATAAGCATAAATTGTTGCAAAAGTTATAATTTTTTTTTTTTTTTTTGAGACGGAGTTTCACTCTGTCGCCCAGGCTATAGTGAAGTGGCACAATCTCAGCTCACTGCAACCTCTGCCTCCTGGGTTCAAGCAATTCTTCTACCTCAGCCTCCTGAGTAGCTGGGATTACAGGTGTGTGCCACCACGCCCGGCTCATTTTTGTATTTTTAGTAGAGAAGGGGTTTCACCATATTGGCCAGGCTGGTCTCGAACTCCTGACCTTGTGATCCATCCGCCTCGGCCTCCCAAAGTGCTGGGATTACGGGTGTGAGCCACCACACCCAGCCCACTAGTGATGATTATTACTAGCACCTCCTCAAAGGCCTTTCCAGACCTCCCACCCCACCATCCAATCCATCACTATTGACTGTTTCTGTCCGAGTCCTGCTATGATCTGCGTTAGTCTTGGTTATTTATGCCTATGTTGTAGGGCCTGGACTGGGGAAGGGATGAGATGAGTTGCACAGGGTTGGATCCTACCTTTATTCAAGAGTTTGATTTTTATTTATTTATTATTTTTATTTATTTATTTATTTATTTTTGAGACAGGGTCTTGTTCTGTCACCCAGGCTAGAGTACAGTGGCTCCATCTTAGCTCACTGCAGCTTTAACCTTTTAAGCTCAAGTGATCCTCCTGCCTCAGCCTGCTAAGTAGCTAGGACAACAAGTATACACCACCATGCCTGGCTAATCTTTTGTATTTTTAGTATAGACAGGGTCTCGCCATGTTGGCCAGGCTGGTCTCGAACTCCCGAGCTTAAGCGATCCCAAACTGCTGGGATTACAGATGTGAGCCACTGTGCCTGGCCTGAAAGTTTGATATTTTGTTAATGAATAGTTTTGCATTAGTTTTGATCTTTTTAAATTTTTTTTTAAATTTTTTCCTTTTGAGACAGAATTTTACTCTTGTTGCCCAGGCTGGAGTGCAATGGCATAATCTCTGCTCACCGCAACCTCCACCTCCCGAGTTCAAACGATTCACCTGCCTCAGCCTCCTGAGTAGCTGGGATTACAGGCACGTGCCACCACGCCCGGTTAATTTTGTATTTTTAATAGAGTGTTTCTCCATGTTGGTCAGGTTGGTCTTGAACTCCCGACCTCAGGTGATCTGCCTGCCTCGGCCTCCCAAAGTGCTAGGATTACAGGCGTGAGCCACTGCACCCGGCCTAGTTTTGATCTTTTAAAATATTGCTCTAGGAAATACTATTATCCCACATGAAGTGCCCAGAGCAGGGACAGGGACAGAGGCTACATTCTAGTCCCATGAGATCAGGCTGGCCCAGCCCAAGCCGAGGGTCTGCTGGAGTGAGAGAAATAAAATATTATTTCTCTTGGTTACTTAGTTCTTTCGGTAGCCCCTCGAATTTTGTGTCCCAGGTGAGTGCCTCACTCACTTGCCCTAGTCCTGGCCCTGGTTTCGGGGTTCTCAGCTGGAGTCTTAGAGTTATCACGCAGGGGCTCCACGCCTGTGGAGTCACATTGTCATGTGACTGACAATCTGGCATCTTTACCAGCAAGAGCGGGCCCTGTCACCTGCTTCTCCTTTCCCGTGCCTGCTTCTCTGCTAGCACATTGCCCTTGGACGCTCTGTGGAAGAGGTGTGACCCACACTCCGGCAGACCCTCGACTTGGGCTGGGCCAGCCTGCTCTCATGGAACTAGAATGCAGCCTCTGTCCCTGTCCCTACCCTGGTCACCTCGTGTGGGCTCCTTCCCCCTCAGGGCAAGTTAGGGAAGGTCAACAGCTGAGTTCCTTTCTACCTGGTACCTGTCCCAGACCCTTAGCCTAGGCCTGGACACTGAGGAGACTCACTAAATGCTTGCTCACCTCATCCTCCCCTCACCCTTCTCGACCTCCCACCTTGATTCTCCAGAGGAGGCGGGAAAGGGGGAGGGAGAGGGGAGATGAGAAGAGATGAGAACAGCTGTCATTTACCCAGGGCTTGCTATGGGCCAGGGACTTCACAGACAGGCTCTTGTTTAAGTTTTACATCACCTCATGGAATAGGTCCTACTATTATCCCCATGTTACAAACGAGAAAACTGAGGCATGGAAAAGTTAAGTGACTTGTCCAAGCTCACATAACCAAGAAGTAGTGGTACTAGGCAGAATTGGCTATACAATTTGTGGGACCCATTGCAAAATGAAGATGTGGGGACCCCTCGTTCAAAAACTATTAATAAATTCAAGACCAGGACAGCAGAGCATTAATGCAAGTGTAGGGCCCCTGTGTGATTGTACAGGCCCCCACTGGTGAAGCTAGTCCTGGTGGTAGAATGTGAACCTGGAATTCTGACTCCAGATTCCACAACTCTGCATTTGGGGAGAGTAATAGTCATCACTGTGATCACCGAGCACCTGCTGTATGCATTGTGCAAAATCTTTTTTTTTTTTGAGACAGAGTTTCGCTCTTATTGCCCAGGCTGGTATGCAATGGTACAATCTCAGCTCACCATAATCTCTGCCTCCCTGGTTCAAGTGATTCTCCTGCCTCAGCCTCCCAAGTATCTGGGATTACAGGCATGTGCCACCAGGCCCGGCTAATTTTGTATTTTTAGTACAGATGGGGTTTCCCCATGTGGTCAGGCTGGTCTCGAACCCCCAGCCTCAGGTGATCTGCCCGCCTCAGCCTCCCAAAGTGCTGGGATTACAGGCGTGAGCCTCCAAGCCAGGTTGATTGTGAAAAATCTTAAAACGCTTTGCAACAACTCAGCAAGGACTAGGCATTGTTACCACCCCCCCTTTTTTTTTTTTTTTTGAGACGGAGTTTCATCCTTGTTGACCAGGCTAGAGTGCAGTGGCGTGCTCTTGGCTCACTGCAACCTCCACCTCCGGGGTTCAAGCAATTCCCCTGCCTCAGCCTCCTGAGTAGTCCAAGGTGCCTGCCATCATGCCTGGCTAATTTTTGTATTTTTAGTACAGACAGGGTTTCAATATGTTGGCCAGGCTAGTCTCAAACTCTTGACCTCAGGTGATCCACCTGCCTCTGCCTCCCAAAGTGCTGGGATTATGGGCATGAGCCACCGTGCCCAGCCTGTTACCCTACTTTTAGGAGTGAGGAAACCAAGCTTTAGAGAAGGTGAGTTACTCACCTAGTGTTCCCAGTGGGGTCAGGATTTGAATACCAGACGAATTCCAGAGCCTGTGTTTTTCTTACCATATCAGATAGCTCCTGTTTGTAAGGATCACAAAGGCAGGAACTAAAACAGGGCTGGGCATGACTCAGACAATCTCTTAGGAACTTTGTTTTCCGGGCCCATCACTGGGGGTCGAGGCGTCGCTTTGCTCGTGATGGAAAGGTGTCCCAAGTCTGCAAGTATTTCCAGCAAGGCTTCTGCTTCCCTGGACATCGTGGAGATCAATGCAGGTAAGTCCCTCTTCTTCCCCTCTGGGGAAGTGGTGTCAGGGTGGGACACTAGAGAGAGAGTCCCTTCACAAATCATGTATCTTCCCAGAGCTGCTTCTCCTAACTCAGCTCCAAGTTCTAGGCTAAGCTGGCTCTGAGCCCTGGAGGGCTGTCCCTGTCTCCTCATTCTCTCCTTCCCCACTACAGCTGTCAGCACCCAAAGACCCCCAGCCCCTTGGAGTGGGGTCGCCGCCATTCGGAGCCACGCGTCACTCTGCCGGGGTCCCACCTAGGACTGGCCCGCAGGGGATCCGAGCCCACCTACCTGCCCTCTGTGTCTGTGGGCTGGGGCTGGGCCAGGGCCTGCTGGGGCGTGGAGCCTACCCTGGAGGGGCTGGCCAGCAAGGCTGAGGAGGTTGGCGGCAGCTCCTGGAAGTCCCTGCCTTCATCATGTGAGTCATCAGGGGCACCGCAGGTGGGCACAAGTGGGCACTGAGACTAGGGCTCATGCTCTGCCTCTGAGCAGGGTTTATATTTTCATCCATTCCCCTTCCTCTTCAAGATTCCCGGCTGGAGGGAAATTTTCCTCTAGTTCCGTTGCTCTGTGTTCTAAAAGCAGAATACCATGGTGCCTATGGAGTCAAACCCCTAGTTCTAAATCCTGGCCCTACCACCTAGTAGCTGTGTGATCTTGGACAAGTCACTTAACCTCTCTCGGCCTCAGTTTCCTGATCTACAAAATGGCATTGATAATGATACTTAACTCACAGGGTCATTTTGAGGGTTGATATGCTTAGCACAGTACCTGGTGCAGAGTATGCACTAAATGTTAGTGGCTATTTTTTATTTTATTTGTTTATTTTCTTGAGATAGGGTCTCCCTCTGTCACCCAGGCTGGAGTACAGTGGCACTATCTCAGCTCACTGCAA